AAACATATTTGAGAGGATAATTGAGGAAAACTTCCCTAGAGATTTAGATAACCACACACAAAGATGATCATCAAACTCCTGGAAGATTCAGAGCAGAAAGGACATTAACAAGATACACAGTTATCAGCCTCAACAAAGTCAAAGTGAAGGATAAATCCTACAAGTTGTGAGATGAAAGCTACAAGTTACTTGCAAAGGAAAATCTATCAGAGTAACAGCAGACTTCTCAGCAGAGACCTTTCAAACCAGAAAAAACTGGGGTCTTCCTAAACAGAATAAATGCTAGCCAACAATTTTTTATCCTGTAAAACTAAGTTTCATAAATAAAGGAGACATAACGTCTTTCCCAGACAAGCAAATGCTGAGAGAATTTCCCACTTCTAGACCTGCCCTATAGAAAATACTTAAAAGTGCTCTATACCATGTACTTGGAACAGAATAACCAATACTCGCCAGTGTAAAAACATCCAAAAGTTAAAATTCACAACACTTACAAAACAGTTACACAGGGAGAAAACAAAGCAACAGGTATCATTCAACAGGATGAACAGAATAGTATCTCACATACTAACACTGAAAGTGAATGCTCTTTTTTTTTTTTTTTTTTAAAGACAAGAGTCTCACTTTATTGCCCTCGGTAGAGTGCTATGATGTCACAACAACCTTCATCTCCTGGGCTTAGGCAATTCTCTTGCCTCAGCCTCCTGAGTAGCTGGGACTATAGGCACCTGCCACAATGCCTGGCTATTTTTGTCTTTTGTTGTTGCAGTTTGGCCAGAGGCGGGTTCTAATCTGCCGCCCTCGATATACAGGGCCAGCGCCCTACCCACTGAACCACAGGCGCTGCCCAGAAAGTGAATGGTCTTAATGCTCCATTTTAAAAGACACGGACTGGTTGAATGGATGAAAAAACAAACGCTAAGTATGTGTTGTCTCCAAGAAATCTATCTAACTCTCCAGGATTATCAAAGACTCAAGATAAAAGAACAGGAAAAAAAATATTCCACACAAACAGAAATCAAAAGTGAGCAGGAGTAGCTATTCCTGTATCTGATAAAAGACTTTACATCAACAATGGTATAAAAAGACACATATAACTACAGTAGAACCTCCATAGTTGACCACCTCTCTGCAGTGACCATCTCCCTAAGTTAACCTAATTTTCACAATCAGACATGCACTACATGTGCATATCAGTACTAGAGGTTCCTTTCTTATGTTGACCACTTCTGTACACTGACCAGTTTGTTACAGTCCCTCAGGCGGTCAACATATAGAGGTTCCACTGTATTTCTATTTTGGTAGACACATGATTTTCCTCACAATTTTTCATTTAACTAGAATCATTTACACACATATATTCACTAACCTTTATTTACTTAATTTATTGAATTAAAATTTTCAATTTATTGAAAAAATTCTTATTGGTTAATTTGCTGATGCAAAGGATAAGAACATCTTAAATTTAAATTCTGTTCTGTTGAACACGGCTTTAAAAAGATAAATATCAATTAACTGATTTTAAAGTATCACATAATGCTCACAATTCAATCACTCAAAAGGAAGAAGAATGATAAATGTTCTTAATTCTGAATGAGAAAGAACTGATTCCTTATGTGGAAAAAAGGAAACTCATGGAAGAAGGGACATCCTCGACTTCCTGGTTAAAGAGAAGGTTGTCTGGGTTGGGTAAGTCAGAAATAAACCCTATAATTTAGCAAAAAAGTCAAAAAAATTACACATGATTCTATAAATGGCAAAGCTAAAAAGAGAATATGGTCCTTACAAAATGAAATTCTAATGAAATATAAGAAAATAAACTTTTTTTGAGACAGAGTCTCACTTTGTTACCCCCAGTAGAGTGCTCTGGTGTCATAGCTCATAGCAACATCTAACTCTTGGGCTCAAGCAATTCTCTTGCCTCAGCCTCCTGAGTAGCTGGGATTACAGGTGTCCACCACAATGCCTGGCTATTTTTAGACATGGGAGTCTTCGGGAGTCTTGCTCTAGGTCAGGCTGGTCTCGAATTCATGAGCTTAGGCAATCCGTCTACCTCGGCCTCCCAAAGTGCTACAGGTGTGTAATCTAAATATACAGAAAAGATTATTTAGATTACAGGAGTGTAATCTAAATATATAGGAAAATTCTGTAAATCCCAAGAAAGAAAAGGAAATGTTAAAGAAACTACACTACAATGGTTATATCTGGCATTTTCCATGAGTTCAAATATAAATTATCCTAAATACAAAAATGTTCACTTAAGGGAGAACATAGAAAATTAACAGGAAACCATAGAACAAGGTTATGAAGGCAAAAGTGCAAAATGAGCTGAGGTTAAGCTATGCTGAGATCTAGCAACTCATCTGATTAGAGCACCTACCTATATAGAGGAACATTTCAAATACAGGTAATGGCTACAACAAAAACAGCCCCAGAGATGTTAACTGAAAAACATTTACAGATTGGGATGCTTATCATATTTTACATTGAATCCTAGTCAAGAAACAAAAAAGAACTCCTTAATATTCAAAATTTAAAAAGTACACACATTGCCTTTTTGTGCATAATTA